ACTGGCAATTGTTCATTGGAACTTTTTTTAGTTAAAGGTTCAGTCTGCCCAATATCAATAACACGCAAATCTTGCATACCTGGTGAACTAATGCGGGAATTTACCAGATTACATTATTTGTAACCATAATGCACTGTATGCAGTGGTGTATTTAGGTTTGGGGGGGCTGTACATGATCTGTGGTGGGCTCTGCGGGGTCTCAGGTGGGCTATGAAGGATCTCTGTTGGGCTCTGCAGGGTCTCAGGCTGCTAAGCCCACCTGAGACCCTGCAGCGCCCACCATAGACCCAGCCACAGATCCTGCAAAGCCCCCCTGAGACTCGGCTGAGCCCTTCACCCTGCAGTCTCAGGGGGCTGTGCAGGATCTGTGGTGGGCTCTGCCCACCATAGACCTCGCAGAACTCACCACAGATCCTGCAAAGCCCCCTTGGGACCCAGAAAAGACCCCGCAGATCCTGCAGAGATCCTGCAGGATCTGTGGTGGGCTTTGCAGGCTGCAGAGTCCCCTATGAATCCTGCAAATCCTCCCTGAGACCCGGCAAAGCCCCCCACAGATCCTGCAAAGCCCCCTGAGACCTGACAAAGCCCCCCACAGATCCTGCAGCATCTCAGGGGGGTTGTGCAGTATCTGTGGTGGGCTTTGCAGGCTGCAGAGCCTCCTATGGATCTGGCAAAGCCCCCCTGAGACCCGGCAAAGCCCTCCACAGATCCTGCAGAGACCCCCTGTTTGCCTCACGGCAGATAAGTCCCTGACTGTATGGCTGTTGAACGTAGGTCAGCTGCCTTAGAAGGGCAATGAAAGGGGCTTTTGGTTAAGCCGACTCCTCTTTAAAAAGAATGGGTTCCCAGCAGCCATATTGGCAATGTGCATATTATGTTAAAGCTCATATGAGATTTTAGTTTTTGGGTTTACAATCTCCTGTACTCAGATTCTTTAAATTGCAGTGCTGGGGTACATGGCTCTGTACACCCAAAAAAAAACTTGTAAGCACCAATATTTGTCCACAACAACTGATATAGCCACTTGATGGTGATTGGGCCTTGTAAATATATTAGATTTAAAAAAAATCTATCCTCTAATTAATTGTCCCCTCCCCCCATGCAAAATCACTTACTTAAACTAACCAAACCCCCCCTAGTTACTTAGAGCAAACCCCAACTTTGGGCCCACTTGCCTAGGAGCATCTGAGCATCTTAAAGCACCATGAAAGAGGACATTCTTACAAGATTTTGGACACTCAGGTTTTCCAGAAGGCTGTGGGAAGTGAATTTTACTTTTTACTGTATTTATTTTCTTTGGGTTTAGCTATTGATTTTACATGGGGTGGTGGGGAGTAGCAGAAGGGAGATGTTTTATAATTTCTAGTATCTTAAGAAAAAATAGAACATACATACAGATATACATATACAGTATAAAAACAAAACCTTAAAACAAATTAAGACATAAATGACCCAAAACTATTATAGTTACCGATTAACTGCAGTACATAGTTATGGCTTTAGTTGGAAAGTTACGATTTTAATTTTATTTCTCGTTTTTAGGAAAATGAAGGTCCTATTATACCTTGGTTTCAGTGCGGCTCTACTTTGTTCCATGGTCTATGCTGACCACGAGGGGAAGAAACATGATCACAAAGATGAACATGATAATAAAGGTGATCACCAACACCACGACCACCACCATGGCCCGCCCGACAAGCACCACCACCATGCTGATAAAAGTTTGTCCTGCCACAAATTAGCAGATAGCAATTCCAAATTTGCCTATGACCTCTATAGGCAGATAGCAGCTGACCATCCAGAAGAGAATGTTGTCCTTTCCCCAGTATGCATATCTACAGCATTGGCATTCATGTCCCTCGGCACCATGGGCAATACCCACGACCAGATCATAGAAGGCATTGGTTTTAACATCTCTGAGATTCCCGAAAAAGAAATGCAGGAAGGCTTCCACCATCTGATGGAAATGCTAAATGACGATGACAGAGAGCTGCATCTCCATAGCGGAAACGGCCTTTTCGTAAGCCAGTCGTGGAAAATCCTTGATGAATTTCTCCAATCAGCTTTGAAATTAAAGTTGGAAGCTTTCAGTATCAACTTTGAGGAGAATGAAGAAGCCAAGAAACAAACCAACAGCTACGTTGAGAAGAAAACAAACGGCAAGATCGTAGACATGATGAGCAGTGTGAACAAGGACGCAGTTTTCGTTCTTGCTAGCTTCATTTATTTCAGAGGTAAGTCACCAAGATTCATTTATCTGAGAATATTCAATAGATGCAAATGGCGCCTGTCAGCATGACTTTTACCATTACTATCCAGGGCTCTCAACTCGTGCTATACTCAGGCCCGGCCTTGGGGCAGCAGGGAGTAGAGGGGCGTCTGATTAGGCGTCTGAAATTTAGGCGACCCCTTTTGCTCAAGTTCAATTACTAATCCCAGGTGATTTTCATTAAAACAAACAATTTGGTTCATTCGGATATTTCGTTATTTTGGAATTTGTATCCGAAATCCAATTCGGTTGGGGTTTTGGTTTCGGACGAAATCCGAATTTTCTTTAGTTTTGGATGAGTATACGAATATTTGTTGTGAATTCCACAGAAAACCGTATACAGATATTAATACTAAAGCTGAATCTCCTAGACCCGAATGGCATTCGGGATCCGAATTGTGTGATTTGTGTTGTTCCGAATCAAAATTTGGCCAAATTTTCTGACATTTGGACACATCCCAATTTCCCAATGCATCCGAATGTGTCAGTTTCCGAATTTTGGATCCCGTCCGAATTTCGTTCAAACACGAAACTGAATCGAGCATGTGACTTTTCTGGCCAATCAGATGTTTTTAATGCATCCGAATGGGTCTGAACATGAATTTTTGTTGCGGCAACATTGGAGCCATCTGATTGGGCAGAAAAGTCACATGCCGTAACGAAAATTCGTGTTCAGTATATGCATACAGTATAATACTAAAGCTGAGGCATTCGGGATGTGAATTTCCGAATTGCATTCGGGAGCTCCCAAATGACATTCGGGTCTGGGAGTCATATACATATATTACTAGAGCTGAAGCTCCCAATCCCAAATGGCATTCGGGATCCGAATTTCTGAATTGCATTCTGGTGTTCCACTTGGATGTAAGCGCTACAGGTCCCATAGACTCCAGCACTTGGGTTGTGTCTCTGCACCCCTCTCCCTCTTGTCATTCAGAAAACAAAGCCAGGAGCTGTGTGTTTTGTGCATGGCCTGGAGGAAAGGGTGCTGGGCGACACTACCGCAGCGCTTATATTTGAGTGGCCTCAAGGCACAGCGGGAGCTGTAATTGTGTCAGGGAACCCGGGGTACCGCTCCTCACCAGGCTCGCCAGCGCAGGCACAGGGCAGGGACTTGCCTCCTCCTGGCAGGACACCGGGCGCCGGGATTGCCAGTGCGCATGCGCGAAGTGCGCGAGCGTAGTGCGCCTGCGCCATTTATGATCCTTATTGTTGAAGTTCAGCTATAAGAAAAAGGAATAATTGGCCGTGTAAACTGAATTTTAATACGTTTTTTTCCCTGCGGCAGGCTCGGCATAACGCTAAGATAAATGTGGATGAGGAGGGAACAGAGGCTGCCGGGGCCACTGTAATGGAGGGCATTACAATGAGATTTCCTTTTCCGATTAAGTTTACCCACCCATTCTTATTCACTATATATAATCACGACACCAGAAGCATTCTCTTCATGGGTAAAGTTGCAAACCCAGCAAAATAACTACCTGCGCATGTCATCACTGCGTCCTAAATAAAGATGATACTTTGATATAACATTTCTTGACTACTTTATATGTGGTATTTTGTGGGCCTTCTTTTACATTAAAGCCGTGCAAAACCTAAGCAATCCAGAAGTAACATGCATGCATACGACACATAAGACAAAAGTGGCAATGGTTCCTCGGAGCAACCATGCCCGGGTAAACAAACATCCTAAAGAAAGGTCCCTGCAAAAGAAGACCTGCCATAACCACTTCTCCCGCAGCCCTATGTCTTCTTCCAGGACTTTTGGATGCCTGTGTCTCCTGAGATGAGCTGTGGTGCGATCCTTCGACCCCCTATGTCACTACATCTACAGGACAGGGCTCCTCACTAGGGATGCACGGTGCCGATACTAGTAAGGTGCCAATACCGAGTATTTGGGCGAGTATACCTTCCCCGACACCGGAACCTTCGGTCAGAGGAAGATTACCTCTGACCGGAAGTGCTGTAGGGAAACATGGAGCCAGCTTCCCGTGCAATCAGGAAGCTGGGCAGTGAGTAATGTCCCAGCCAATCAGCATCCAGCTGGCCGAACAGCTGGCTCGATGCTGATTGGCTGGGAAGCCAGCTTTCCCGGCCAATCACAATCAAGCCGGCCAGACAACATGGAGCTAAACAACTCGCTGCCTGGCTTCCTGATTGGCCTGGAGGCCAGATTGATGCTATTTGGCTGGGAAGCCGGTTTCCCCGGCCAATCACAATCAAGCCAGCTAAACAACATGGAGTCCCAGGCAAACAGGAAGACGGGCGGCATGTCATTATCCGCCGCCCAGCTTCCTGAATGGCCGGGAATCAGGCTCCATGCCAGCAGAAGCACCGGTATCAGTACTCGGTATTGGCGAGTACCGAAAGCAAAATATCAGTACTCGATACCGAAAAAACGGTATCCGTACATCCCTACTCCTAACCCCAATCAAAGGTTAATTGGCTTTCAAGAGTTTGCAGGTATGATAATGATCTTTCATTGTCCTCACTTCAATGCTCTGAAAACTTACTTGTTGCTATTGACTATTGCACTTCGCAGGGGCTTCCCGAGGCCGGGTGTCACCGGGTGCCATGTCGTTATCGCGTGTGCTCGTGATGTCATCGCGCATGAGCGGCCATCTGATTGACGCCTGCCGGTGGTCATCTTGGTGAGGGACCCTGCAGAGACAGGAGGGGAACGTTCACCCGGCGGGATGATGTATGCCGCTGGGTCCCCTCCTCTCTTCTGACAGTCGGACCCTCGGCCCATGACCGAGTGCCCAACTTTTTAGAGGGGGTGACACCAAAATGACTATCAGTCATTTTGGTGTCACCCTTGCAATGGTAGAAAAATGTCACCAGCAAAAAAAATGTCCCCCGCACCACACCCTGTGACGCCACTGGCACTTCGCACCTGCTAACTGCTTCCTGCACTGTGCAATGGTTTAATGGAGAACTATGAGGTGAGTGCTTTTCACTCACCTCATAGTTCTAGCCGACCTGTGACAATGAGACTGTCAAAGGTCGGCTCAGTAGATCGGGAGGTGAGCAAACACATAACGGCGTTCGCTCACCTCTCGATCCTGTCACGGGTCTCAGCCGTGACAGGGGAGGGACTGGATTCCCCCCGCTCCGATCCGCCAGCGCTGACTGGCGGAACGGATGGGGAGGGGGCGGGTACAGCTGGCTCTGCCTCTAGATAGGCAAAGCCAGCTGTCAGTCACGCAGCTGGGCGGATCCCGACACAATTGTCGGGATCCGCTTCATACTGAGCCTAGGGTGACGGGGGACGCTAGTTTGTGTCCTCCCGTTACCCTAAGGAGAACTATGGGGACAAGCCCTAACCCCTTAGTTCTCCTTTAAGGTGATGAGTACAGAAACATCATCGTTGGACATAATGTGCAGGCAAATAGACGTAGTCAATCAATATTTGTTCTTCCTCATGTGAACCCAGAGCAGCGAGGTTATCTGATTAATGGTTAGATAGGTCTTGGCTCATACCATAGAGTGGACACACGCTCCTCTATATAAGTGGTCAGTCAGGTCATTGGATTGTGGTGCTCTCTGGGGATCTCAGGACATTACAGTGAGTATGCACATGGAATCTATATGGGTATTTATTGTTGCTCTCATTGAGGAGATTCACTCTGTTTGCTCTGGTTTCCGTTTTCAGAAAGTAATAAAAACGCAAAAATTTATAGTTGTCACCACAATAAGAGGTCAAGGGAAATCTTCCATTGGGGAAATCTATTTTGGTAACAAAAGACTTAGGTTTGCCTTACATTTTCACTTTCTTTGAAGACATTTACACTCATTTGTTGATGTTTCCCAGGGATGGGTTGTACAGAAAAATCTCCCCATGTGAACAAGTACAGCTCCTCCCCCATAAAATGGGGTTTAACCACTTCCTACTAAAAAAAAAAGAAAAAGAGGCTTTAAATATGCAGAAAAACATAATATCTGACCCAAATGTATTATGTGTGAGCTGATTCTTTACATTTCTGTTTGGGGCAGAGTCAGTTGGGTTATTATCTGTCTCCGGGACTCCAGCAGGGAGATCTCCCAATCGTGGTTCCAAGCATGATGGGGTGGTTCACTAACAGCAATAACAAAATCTTGACAGAAGTTCCAACCCTTCTTTACTCTGTCCAAAACTAAAAACAAAGTGTTGGCTGCACATACGCTTTAAAGTAAATCATCTCTTAGCTGTTGCGCATCCATTATCGAGGGACTCACTCTTGTTGCTGCATAATGTAAAATCAGAGGAAGAAACAAGTATGTGACCCATTTCACATGGCCAATGGCTGAAGAGAGGCAGGTATGGATTCTGAGTTGAAAACTTCCTACAAAGTATAATAAGACAGTGGATGACCCGATTAATCAGCTTCAACCCATAACCAAACTATCAATTACAGGTGAAACCCGAATAATTAGAATATCGTGCAAAAGTAATTGCAGTAAGTGCTGCAAAAGGGGCCCAAACCAAGTACTGAGTACATATGCATGCTTGTACTTTTCAGAGGTCCGATATTGTTCTATGTACAATCCTTGTTTTATTGATTGCATGTAATAATCTACTTTTCTGAGGTTGTGGATTTGGGGTTTTTGGGGTTTTCATGAGCTGTAAGCCATAATCATCACAATTATGACAAATCACGGCTTGAATTATCTTGCTTTGCATGTAATGAGTCTCTCTCATATATTAGTTTCACCTTTTAGGTTGCATTAGTGAAATAAATGAACTTTGCACGATATTCTAATTATTCGAGTTTCACCTGTATAATTATTATTATTATACAGGATTTATAAAGCGCCAACAATTTGCGCAGCGCTTTACTATATAAGGAAGACATTACAATAACAATACAATTCAAGACAAGATGGTAAGGAGGGCCCTGTCCCTGAGGGCTTACAATCTAAAGGGAGGGGGAAGTGATACATGAGGAGGGAGCTGTGTGGGGATGAATTGTATGAGAATGTGATGGTTGACTGGTTAGGTTGAGGTGGGATAGGCTTCCCTGAAGAGTCTTAAGGGATCGCCTAAAGGCAGTCAGAGTGGGAGATAAAAGGACAGGTTGGGGTAAAGAGTTCCAGAGGATGGGAGAGACTCTAGTGAAGTCCTGGAGGCGAGAATGGGAGGAGTTGACGAGGGAGCTGGAAAGCAGAAGGTCTTTTGAAGAGTGGAGGGGATGGTTAGGGTGATTCTTTGAGAGAAGGTTTGAGATATAGCCAATTGGTGATCGGGCCTTTTAAATATATTAGGTTAAAAAAGACCCCTATCCTCTAATTAATTGTCCTCTTTCCCCCTGCAAAACCACCCCCCCCCCCAATCTTAGCAAGTAAGAAGCCAAAGATACTTAGAGCAGACCCCAACTTTAGGCATACTTGCCTAGGAACAGCTGAGCATCTTAAAGCACCATGAAGGAGGACATTTTTTCAAGATTGTGGATACTCCAGAAGGCTGTTGGAAGTACATTTGACTTTTTACTGTATTTATTTTCTTTGTTTTTAGCTTTTGATTTTACATGGGGTGGTGGGGAGTAGCAGAGGCGAAATGTTTTAGAATTTCTAGTGTCTTAGTAAGAAATAGAACATACATATAGATATACATATATACAGTATACAGCAGGGGTGCCCATAAGGTTGTTTGCGATCTACCAGTCGATCGCGTAGCGATCACTGGTGGATCGCGATGTCCTCTCCTCCCGCCCGTGGGGCTTCTCTGGATCCCCACTGCTCTCCCCATCTGTATGTACTGTAGCGGGGATCCGAGAGGAAGTGAAGGAACAGCTGCAGCCGGTCAGCCGGTGAAGGAACCGCTGCAGCCGGCAGCTGGCGCTGCATAGTACTATGTGTCCCCAGTTATGAATGAACAGGATGTGATTTACATCACTTCCTATTCATTCATGAGTTTCTCAATGGAGAGAAGCACTCAGTACAGAGACTCCTCCCCATTCAGAAAATGGATGATAGTAAAATATTTTCTGAATGAATGGGAAGCTTCTGTGCTTCCCATTCATTTGGAACAGAGGCTGCAGAAAAAGAGATTGAGGACTTTGTGTCCTCAATTTATTTTTCTATTTTAGAAGGGAAATGTCAGTGGGCTGTTTAGACCCCTAATATTTCCCCGAGGCCCCCCAAGAGTAAAAAAAAAACAAAATGCAAATAAAAAAAATGAAAAATTTAGAAATAATACAAATAAAATGAAAAAAATCCTGGAGGCCGGGCGCTGGGTGACATCACATGCCTGTTGGGGGTGGGGCACATTTTTTTTCTTGCCTCGGGCACAAAAGGAGCTGGCTACCCTCCTGCGATGCTCATGCGGCTGCATGTGTCAGACGCTGCAGATGGAAAGGGGCAGGACACCTCTCCCCATGTGCAACATCGGCCACACGAGCACAACGGGAGGACAGTACCCACGGGGCCTCTACGACGCACTTGAATTTAACGCCGGCCGACTCCCTGCATTCAGGGGCTTGCGGGGGTGTATTGAAGTCAATGGCACAGCAGCCATGCCCCCCTCCCCCCCCACAGCCCACAGTGCTCACAGCCTTTTTGCGGATCGCACTGGAGTGGAACACAGGCACTAATGTGGGCGAGGGGCCTGCCTGCGGTGCCTAATTGCGGTGCCAATGACCTCAATGCACCACCACGCACCCTCCCGCCCCTGAATGCAGATGTTTTTTTGTCGGTAGATCTCATTGAGCTCGTCATTTGCAGTAGTAGATCTTCAGACGAAAAATTGTGGGCGCCCCTAGTATACAGTAGATAAACAAAGCCTTAAAACAAATTAAGACATAAATGACTCAAAACTATTATAGTTACAGGTTAACTGCAGTACATATCTATGGCTTTAGTTGGAAAGTTACCATTTTATTTTTATTTCTCATTTTTAGGAAAATGAAGCTCCTATTATACCTCGGTTTCAGTGCGGCTCTACTTTGTTCCATGGTCTATGCTGACCACGAGGGGAAGAAACATGATCGCAAAGACGACCATGATAATAAAGGTGATCACCGACACCACGACCACCACCATGGTCCCCACGACAAGCACCACCACCATGCTGATAAAAGTTTGTCCTGCCACAAATTAGCAGATAGCAATTCCAAATTTGCCTATGACCTCTATAGGCAGATAGCAGCTGACCATCCAGAAGAGAATGTTGTCCTTTCCCCAGTATGCATATCTACAGCATTGGCATTCATGTCCCTCGGCGCCAAGGGCAAGACCCACGACCAGATCATAGAAGGCATTGGTTTTAACATTTCTGAGATTCCCGAAAAAGAAATGCAGGAAGGCTTCCACCATCTGATGGAAATGCTAAATGACGATGACAGAGAGCTGCATCTCGATAGCGGAAACGGCCTTTTTGTAAGCCAGTCGTGGGTAATCCTTGATGAATTTCTCCAATCAGCTTTGAAATTAAAGTCGGAAGCTTTCAGTATCAACTTTGAGGAGAATGAAGAAGCCAAGAAACAAATCAACAGCTACGTTGAGAAGAAAACAAACGGCAAGATTGTAGATATGATGAGCAGTGTGAACAAGGACGCAGTTTTCGTTCTTGCAAGCTTCATTTATTTCAGAGGTGAGTCACCAAGATTCATTTATCTGGGAATATTCAATAGATGCAAATGGCGCCTGTCAGCATGACTTTTACCATTACTATATTACTATTCAGTGCTCTCAACTCGTGCTATACTTGCATCTGTATGACCTCATGACCCTCCAACATGACACATTTCATAAGGTACAGAATAATCTAAAACTGAAATTATCTCTTCTTTTCTGATTAGGCGTCTGCAATTTAGGCGACCCCTCTTGCTCAAGTTCAATGACTAATCCCAGGTTATTTTCCTTAAAAAAGGAAGGAAAAGGTTTAGGAGAAAAGCATGTTCTCCGTTATGAAATGGGTCATTTTGGAGTATTTAAGGTGCTAATTAGACCTATTTTTCATTATTTCGAGATTCGGATCCGAAATTCAATTTGGTTTGGGTTTTCGGATTGGGGCGAAATCCGAATTTTCGTTCATTTCGGATGGGTTTACGAATATTTGTTGCGAATATCACAGAAAACCATATACATATATTAATACTAAAGCTAAATCTCCCAGACCCGAATGGCATTCGGGATCCGAATTTCTGAATTGCATTCGGGGGAGCTCCCGAATGCCATTCGGGTCTGGGAGCCTCAGCTACCTCCTCATGTATCACTTGCCCCTCCCTTTTAGATTGTAAGCCCTCAAGGGCAGGGCCCTCCTTACCATCTTGTATTGAATTGTATTGTAATGTCTCCCTTGTATTGTAAAGCGCTGCGCAAACTGTTGGAGCTATATAAATCCTGAATAATAATAATAATAAGTGCTCCTAACCACAAGGCATAGGCATGAATGGGGCCTTGATGTAATTATCTACTTTTGTAAGAAACTTTATTTGGGCTTTAATAAAATTAAGAACACCAAGAAAATGTACCTGACCAATTTTTGCCAATGTAGTGCTCTATAGTACATGGGTATTCACATCAATGGGCTGTGAAGCATTGAAAGGTCTGGTGTGTTGTTTACTTTATTTACATGCATTGGGGGCCAATTAGAAATTAAAGCCCAACTCAGAGCACAATAAACCTAACAGGGTTATAGCAGTTATATATTCTTTTTGCATCAAAAGTGACCTCCCGTCATGCAGGCTTTCTTCTAAGTCCATCAAATTTGCTAATTGACATGCCAGATTAGTAAAGCTCCCACTTACATCCGAGTAGTCTCTCCCAAGTCCACTTGGATGTAAGCGCTACAGGTCCCATAGACCTCCTTCTTGCCATTCAGAAAACATAGCCGGGAGCCATGTGTTTTGTGCATGGCCTGGAGGAAAGGGAGGTGGTGGACACTACCGCAGCGAACTGGTCTATGAGGCTTCTAGCGCTACATTTGAGTGGCCTGGTGGCACATTGGGAGCTGTAATTGATAGATTCAGAAGTGTGACTGGGGGTTGCTTTTGATGCAAAGGATATATAACTGCTATAACCCGGGTACGTTTTTTGTGCCCACAGTTGGAATTTAATGTGATGCTTGCAAAACACATGCACAGTGCATGTTACCAATGTGTGTCAACACACATGAAATAGCATATACATAACTATGAAATTAGCTTAAAAACTGGTTTACATAATTTATTCTTGTGCTAGCTGAAGGTGTAACTATAGCCATAGCAACTCATGCAATGGTTGCGAGACACTAGGGGCCCCGCACTGTCTTCCTGCATAATATTATATGCAGGTTGCAATTTCCTGAATGTATATTTACTTTGGCAACCTCTAAACAATAATATGAAGGCAAATACAATTCTGTATCCGTAGAAGGATAGGGGATGGAGAGTTGAGAGCAATGGGCCTCTTTATAGTCCTGCTTTGGGGCCCCCATCATGCATTGTTACTCCCCTGGCATTAATATTTTCATTTGATTATTTTTTTCTTAGCAAAGTGGGAGAAACCTTTCGAGTCGCAACTTACCAAAGAAAATGATTTCCACGTGAATAAGAATCTTACTGTGAAGGTGCCTTTCATGTCCCGGACTGGTAATTACAAAACGGCAATCTTGGATGAAGCCACCGTTGTATCCGTCCCTTACAAAGGGAACGCCTCTGCCTTATTCATCCTACCCAAGGAAGGCAAAATGAAAGAAGTGGAATCTAACCTAAGGGACACAGTGAAGAAATATAAAAAGTCTTCTCACATGGAGTAAGCGGACTTTTCCTTGAAATTGTTTAGTAAACATCTTGTCTACAGTTGCCCACATACACATGAGTGTGATTGTTTGATTGTTATTTGTTTTTGATATTCATTTATTTATGTTTTCATTTATTTACTGAAAACTGTCATTCTTCAAAATTATGTTTTGTCCTGGTATCACCACCTTGTTTTTTTTTTAATCCTTTAACAGATTTGTGGATTTGAGAATTCCCAAGTTTTCTGTTTCTGGTTCCCTAGACCTTAAAGAGTTACTACCCAAATTTGGAATAGTTGATCTGTTTTCCAACAGCGCTGATCTTTCTGGAATCACTGGGGCTCCCAACCTAAAAATTTCACAGGTGAATTATTATTATTTAATGCTTTTTTTGTAATTTACAAAACATCCCACTTCAAAGCTTGTTATAAGGTCAGTGTATCCAAAACTGATATTTTAGTTATTGGGGGCCGTATGAATTCAGACCCTGGCTTCCTATACAGTATGTCTGATTGTAGAATGTGCTCTGATTTGGGGGTGCCTTAAATTACCGATGAACAACTGAATCTTCAATAAGTGTTGGGTTTATTTACAAATAGGGATATACATACATTCTAATTACAATTAAGGGAATCTGAAAGGGGAATTGGGGATAGTAATTGAGGGTAAGGATCCTACAGCTAGCTACACCATTCTCTCACTCATTCACACATGCCATGGGGTTTTTCTCCTGTTCTCAAAACACGCCTCTCCAGCAGGTCTCAGCGAATCACATTCTGGATTGCAGAGTTCAGAAAAACGTGTCTTGTCCAAAGGTCTTGCTGGTGAGCTAGGTTAGTGTCCCACAGGAAGAAGGTTCCACCATATGCCCCTGCCCCGATCCCAGCATATATGACTTGCTGACACAGGTGTGGGCAGTAAATACCAGCAGGGGGTCGGGCTTGCTCCAGGACATGACAGTCCAGCAGATCTCCTTTGATCAGTGTCCAGCCCCAGGAACCCTTTGATGGTCCTCATTTGCATATCAAATAGCCACGGGCAGTTCACGATATCAAGGAACCTTTCCATCAAAGATGTATCATAGATGTCAATTATTTTAGGTTCCAACATTCCCTGGTTTTGTGCCTATATTGGCACACACAATCCAATAACAAACCACAGAAAATTGATATCTGCATTACTCCAGTCCTGCTAACATTCCGGCATAGCGGCCTTTCTTCGGAGACAGTTTCTTCGCCAACATGGGCAGGCATAGACAGAGCAGGAACCCATTCATACAACAGTCACACGCTATTCCACATGGATATTACTAAATACAGTTCACCAATATTCCTCATGATAATCACAGGAAATCTACACTGATATCCAAGAACGAGCTCTTGCTACAATAATTCCCATCTCTGTTCCTTTAGAACTGGGAGTTTTGGGTATCCCCACTCTCCTCTCTGTGTTACATTCTCGATATTGTAAAAGTAAAAGAGAACTATTGCCCAACCTTTTTTTGCCCATAGTTTTCTTTAGGGTCACAGGAGGACATCGAGGGCTCGTTTCCACTATCCCTTGCACTCATTGCACTGTCCCGTGCCCGAAATGCAAGGGATCGCATACACAAAGTCTCCTTGCGTTCTGGGTTGTGAGGGAGTGTGTCAGTGCCATTAATTTTAATGGCACAGCAGACACGCCCCCACACCCGCAGTGCAATCTGCCACACAGGAACAGGTAATAAAATGTCCTGCGTTCGAAAAAAATCACGCATGCACTATTGTTGGTGAACGTACCACACTGGAACGCAGGGCATTTTATTACCACGTGGTCTTGTATGGCCGATCGCACTGCGGGCGGGGGGCATGTCTGCAGTGCCATTGAAATGAATCGCACTGCCACGCCCCCTCCCACCCCAGAACGCAAGGAAACTTTGTGTATGTGATCCCTTCCATTCTGGGCACAGGACAGTGCGATGAGCGCATGGGCTCGTGGAAACAAGCCCTGACTAATGTCCTCTTGTGACCCAAAATTCAGCATATAGCGGGCTATTTCCCTGCTATATGCTGACACCGCAGGGCCATGCCTGATTGACAGCTGCATCTGCCTCTCTACATTCATTTAGAGAACACATAGTTGTGTGTTCTCTAAATGAACACACAACTGTGTTGAATTGTGATGTGTATATCTATATGAAGTTCAACTATAAGAAAAAGGAATAATTGGCCGCATAAACAGAATTTTAATACTTTTTTTCTCTTCGGCAGGCTCGGCATAACGCTAAGATAAATGTGGACGAGAAGGGAACAGAGGCTGCTGGGGCCACTGTAATGGAGGGCATTCCGATGAGACTTCCTCTTGTGGTTGAGCTTGACCATCCATTCACATTTGTTGTATATGACCACAACACCAAAACAACCCTCTTCATGGGTAAAGTTGTAAACCCAGCGACTTAACTCTCTGCACACGCCATCGCTGTGCCTTAAATAAAGATTATACTTTGTCGTAACATTTCTGGTCGGTTTTATGTGTGATGTTTTCTTTGCAAGCCTTTAGGGTCAGTTTCCACTGTAACATTGTAGCAGAAGGCTTCATTCACACACAAGTAACTTTTTTCGGCATATACAACAATTCTGAAGAAAGTATAATAAAACAGTAAAACAGTAGAAAGGTATCATGGCACACTCACAAACCAGTGTGTAAAACAACTTGTCTCACCACTAAGGATAATAACAGAGGTTTGGATACACGTCTTCTGCAGAGGATGTGAAAGCCGCACTGCCGCGCCAAGGCACCTCTTATAGTGCGGTCCTAACTCTAAACTATGAGAGTCTCCATCTTGGAGCACATGGGGGCAGACGATTTCAAATTGGGTGCAGGTTTGTCAGGAGGACGCCCAGCCTCCTTAAAAGCACAGAAACACACAGGGGATCCCGCACATCCCAATGGCAGCTGAGAAACCCCATGCGTCGCTGCACCAAATCGGTCAAGCAAAACAAACGAGAAACGCACTCAACAAAGAGGTGCCTTGGCGCGGCAGTGCGGCTTTCACATCCTCTGCAGAAGACGTGTATCCAAACCTCTGTTATTATCCTTAGTGGTGAGACAAGTTGTTTTACACGCTGGTTTGTGAGTGTGCCATGATACCTTTCTACTGTTTTACTGTTCAAAGCCCATTTCGTGTGCACCTTACTGTATAACTGGTGACAAATTGTTGAGTGCGTTTGTCGTTTGTTTTGCTTAGTATAATAAAACAGGCGAGTCTTTTTAACCTCAATGTTCTATTTTAGCTTATTTGCTTTGACATAGGCTGGTAGCATGCTAGACTGAGAACTGGAACAAGCCTTGATCCATGCTCAGCTATTCCTTTAAAGGAGTTGTAAAGTCCCAACATATGCAATCCTTTTATAACATATTATAACATCAGCATTGTAATAAGAATACATACTAGAGTTGTTTGTGATAATACAATCAAAGTTTACGTGAATAAATCCCTTTTATGGAGTGAGCGCTGCCTTCCGTCCACCCATCACTTTCATCAACTTCCTGGATTCCCAGTGTGCTCTACATCTCTTTCCCTGCTGCTTGATATGATGCAATCTTAATTTCTCAAGACTACACAACCCATCATGCATTGCTTCCAGCAAGCAATGATAATGTTACGTTGTTCAGACGGCAGGCTCTGTGAGACTGGTGGGACCTGGAAGTGCATATTTACAGGGCTGAGTGAAATGGTCTCAGTGCATTGAGGAAGTACATCTTATGGGAATCTTTAAAAGGAGAACTATGGGGTTAAGGCTTTTCCCCATAGTTCTCCTAAGGGTAACGGGAGGACACCAACTATCGTCCTCCCATATCCCAAAGCTCAGTATACCGTGAGCTACAGCTCGCGGTATACTGAGACGCGGCAGCTGAAGCGGATCCCGACAATTGTGCCGGGATCCGCCCAGCTGCGTGAGTGACAGCTGGCTCTGCCTATCTAGAGGCAGAGCCAGCTGTACCCGCCCCCTCCCCCGTCCGTTCCGCCAGTCAGCGCTGGCGGATCAGAGCGGAGAGGGGGGAATCCAGCCCCTCCCCTATCACGGCAGAGAGCCGTGACAAGATCGAGAGGTGAGTGAACGCCGGTATGTGTTCGCTCACCTCCCGATCTACTGAGCCGACATGTGACAGTCTCATTGTCACAGGTCGGCTAGAACTATGAGGTGAGTGAAAAGCACTCCCCCCCTCATAGTTCTCCTTTAATAAGCAAGTGTACAAACTTCTAGATCAATATGGTAATTACGAGTGGGATAGTAATTATGGAAATTCAATATAGAAATACATATTCCTTTTTAGTTTTTGACAATAGATACCCCCCTCTAAATAATCTGCTGTGGTCTAGTTTTTGATACAGCTCTTATCCCACTATAAGCCCGGATGAGGGGAGGACTGTTGAGCCCCCAAAGGGAGTTGGCTATCTATGTGATTTTTGCTGTGACCAATAAAGACTGGAATCACACAGACCCCATAATGCTCTTGTCTTTTTTTCACTGTACTCACTACTGATAGTCCGAGGACCTATCTGGGCCCATCAGCTTCTTGGGAACTGTCTTTTTGTCTTAGAACTAAGAAAATATCTTCATATTAAGGTTCAGTGCCACACTAATACTACTGTATATGTTATAAAATCGCTGAAACTTCTCTTCAATGGGATATATTATATACATTATATACAACACAGAGCGCCAACTCTAAGTGAAATACCATTTACTCAGTGTGAATGAAAAGCAAACCAATCTACTTACAAAAATATGTTGCAGAACACTTGGAACATAGCTGGATGTCTGTCGGAACCACTCATGAGGATATTCACTCCCTGTTATAAACGTGCAGCAGTCGCCAGTCACTCCTGCCACAGAGCTGGCCGCTGTGTGATCGGGCTGACGCGTTTTCAGAGCACGCCCCCTTCTTCAGAGCCACCTGAAGATAATTCGTCCACCTTATATAATTCAAGCTCTAGAATGCACCTTCCATTGGGGCTTTCATAATTAAAGCGTATCTAAACCCCAAAACACAAATGTATCTATTGCAGCTTACATTCCTAACACGTGGTGGCTACATTTCTTTTTTTTCCCCATCATAAAAGAGGTAAGGACCTTGGCCCACTGGTTCTGGGGTAGACCCTGTCACTCTACCTCTCTCAAACACCATGAGCAAGGCCTCCGTGTCATCCTCGGTGTTCATTTTTGGGAGTACAGCCTGCACCACTTGCATACAGCTGAGATACTTTCTACCTGCGGAGTCCTTTCAGCTAGGTTGTAAATCTGACTCTGTATCAGCCGGTTGTGCTCATTTTGTTCTTTTATAATAGCCTGGGTTGCAGCTGCAAGCAAATGGTTTGATTCCTGTTGGTCTGCATGTGCTTGCTGTTAAGCAATATTAGCTTGCTGTTGGAGAACCTGAAGGAGGGTATTTGACTGCACCAGCTGCATGATCAACTCCCCCATTTTTGCAGTCCTTGCAGCCACAAGCCAACTCAGACTTAATGGAACTGTCCCTTTTAAGAGCATTGGCCCTTTATGAGGTTGCTTCTGTGAGCAATACTTTTCCTACTAACGCAACAGCTTTTATTGACATCCTGCTACAATATATGTATATATAAACATACACACACTATATAACTAAAGCAGTCACCGCATCCAAGCACTGGTAAGTTACAATCTATAAGTTTTTTGTTTTTAGACTGAGATATACGTTAAAGGAGAACTATGAGATGAGTGATTTCCACTCACCTCACAGTTCTAGCCGACCTGTGACAATGAGACTGTCACAGGTCGGCTCAGTAGATCGGGAGGTGAGCGAACACATATCCATCCATGGGCTGAATTCCCCTCTCCCCGCTCCGATCTGCCAGCGCTGACTGGCGGAACGGACGGGGGAGGGGGCGGATACAGCTGGCTCTGCCTCTAGATGGACAGAGCCAGCTGTCACTCACACAGCTGGGCGGATCCCGTCATCTACGTCGGGATCCGCTCCGGCTGCGGCGTCTCAGTATAGTAGCTCGGGTTATACTGAGCTTAAGGTAACGAGAGGACGCTAGTTTGTGTCCTCCCTTTACCCTAAGGAGAAACTATGGGGAAAAACACTGACCCCATAGTTCTCCTTTAATGGATGAGTCGATCGTAGGACCTGTTGTGGCCGGAAGAGTTAATGCAAAGCAAAAAGTGTAGAACTCAGGATACAAAGTATTTAAACTGGTTACAGCAGCAGATTGCTGCAATAAAACTTGAAGGAGGGCCTAACCTTTCCCCAATCCATCCAAAACTAAAAAAAAAAAAAGCTTTGGCACTTCAACTGTGTCAGTTGGCTTGGTTGCATTGCTGTCAATAATTAAACATAGAAAATTGAGAAATATAGATAAAGCCAGTTTCTACAGCAAAAAAAAGTTAGAACTATTAAACCATATTGCGCATACTAATCTTTGAGCTACATTGCAACATTGTTTACCTTACGTTACCGTGAACTTATAGCCAGAAGGTTGTTGGATAGCAGTATGTGGGATTTTATGATTTCCCAACTGGTGTGGGTGGCTATAAATATATAGAAGAGGTCCTCTTGCAAATTCTAGAGATCTCTGGGCACCACTGGTGAGTCACAAGTGATTAATGTTTCAGTGTTTTTTGCATTTCATTTGGAAGAGGCGGGGATATTATTATTATAATACAGGATTTATATGGCGCCAACAGTTTGCGCAGCGTTTCACAATGGTTTCAGAAATGGAGAAGGATTTGGGGGTCATTGTAGACCACAAACTGAAAGGTAGTTTGCAGTGCCAGGCTGCTGTAAACAAAGCTAGCAGGGTCTTGTCCTGTATTAAAAAGGGGATGTATTGCAGGGACAAGTCTATAATTTTGCCACTTTATAGATCATTGGTTCAACCTCATCTGGAGTACGCGGTCCAGTTCTGGTCACCAGTACTAAGAAAAGATGTCCTTGAGTTGGAAAAAGTCCAGCGGAGGGCAACCAAACTAATTAGGGGTATGGAGGACCAGAGCTACGAGACGAGGCTACTAAATTTAAACATGTTCACATTAGAGGTGAGGAGATTAAGGGGGGATATGATTTCCATGTACAAGATGTTCAATGGTGGTAGCAACATTAGCGATAAACTGTTTAAAATTAACTCCGTTACAAAAACTAGAGGCCACCACCTAAAATTGGTGGAAAAAAAATTCCAGCACAAGGGGCGAAGGGGGTTCTTCACAGTAAGATCAGTTAGGGTCTGGAACTCACTGCCACAGGCGGTGATTTCAGCAAATAATGTGGAATTGTTCAAGAAACTTTTGGACGATTTCTTAAGGGACCGTAATATACAGGGGTACAGGTACTCCTAGAATGAGATCCTAATAGGTTGGACTTGATGGACCAATGTCTTTATTCAACCTAAAATACTATGTAACTATGTAACAATATAAGGAAGACATTACAATCACAATACAATTCAAGACAACATGGTAAGGAGGGCCCTGACCCTGAGGGCTTACAATCTAAAAGGGAGGGGGAAGTGATACATGAGGAGGTATCTGTGTGGGGATGAATTGTTTGAGAATGTGATGGTTCAGTGGTTAGGTTGAGGTGTGATAGGCTTCCCTGAGGAGATGAGTCTTAAGGGATCGCCTAAAGGCAGTCAGAGTGTAATTATCACATTATCACATATGCAAAATAAGTATTTTTGGGTTGATTTAAAAAATGTAGAGGACTAGAGAGAAATAACATGAGTGTTGAGTGAAGTAGACACCAGAAATATCTTGCCCTGGTGTAGGTTAGGGTGTAAAATCATTGAGCAGTGTTTGTACTTACATTGAAAGGCTGTCATAAACCTGAGGTCTCTGTAACCTTCTTAGAAGATTCCGTAGTAGAGTATTTCGCTCTCCATGCAGATCTCTGCTATTGTATGTTACTCTTGATGCTTGGAGGGGAACAACCAGGATCTTTTTCACTAGACGTGACTTGGTGCTAGAGTGAAGCAAAACGGCAATTGGGAAAACTCCTAATAGATGTGTGTCCTTAGCCCTGCGTAAGCTTTGACCCAGTTCTAAAACATTCACAGAAATGTTGTGAATGAATGTGCTTTTTACTCTTCCTTGCTCTCTCCCAGAGGTTTTTAAAAAAATATATGTTAAGATGTTTATTTATTTATGTATTCCTTCCTTATGTTTCTCCCTCTTCCCTTCCTTCCTTAATTTCATTCTCCCTTCATTCACTTTCCTTTCTTCCTTCCTTCCTTCCTTCCCTCCTCCCTTCCTTCTTTTCTTTCTTACTTCCTTCCTTTGTTCTCTGCCTCCTATCCTCTTCAAGTGTTTATAATAAAAATTGATAATCAATGTTAATCAATTTGTTCCAGAACAATGAGAGTCTTTTTGTTTGTGTGCTTGAGCCAAGCCCTGCTTTGCACGGTGGTCTTTGGCCACCATGAGAAAGAGGAGGAACATCATGGTGAAAATGCCGATGAACATGCTATGGAGACACCTCTCCAGAAGATTGTTCCAGGCAATGTAAAATTTGCATACTCACTCTACTCTCACCTGGCTGAAGAATATCCCAACGATAACTTATTCTTCTCTCCGATGAGTATCTCTACGCTATTTAGCATGCTCTCTGTAGGTGCCAGGGGTCCGACACAGACTCAGATCTATGAAGGACTCGGCTTCAACATGTCTGCAATCTCTGAAGAAGACATTAACAAAGGCTTCCAGCAGCAAATTCATGCTCTTAATCATCGTACCTCAGATCTGGAGCTCAGCAGTGCTAATGCTCTCTTTGTCGAGCAGCATGCAAAACTTCTTGAAAAGTTCTCAGAAGATCTGAAGAACTTCTATGAAGCAGAAGCAATTTCTACAGATTTTACAAATGGAGATGAAGCAAAAAATCAGATTAACAGCTACGTGGAGAAAAAGACCAATGGGAAAATCAAAGACTTGCTGTCAAGTGTTGGCCCACAGACACTTTTAGTCCTTATCAACACAATCCACTTCAAAGGTAAGTTGTTGATGTGTGGAACCAGACCAGTGGGGAGGATGTAATGAACTGTTAAGATTTGTATCCTATAGTCAACCCAGATGCCTTTTATTCAGAAACAGGATAAGCCAATATTAGTTCTTTGGGTCAAAACAAATAATTAAAAGGTAATAACTTTCACATCTCACGATGTAATTCATTGAAATATGCTAGGTCACTCCTAGCCAACCAGAAGGCCTTGTGCCTTGAAGTCATGCAATCATGATTTCCATTGGGTGGCTATTAGTATACTGTAGTAATCATCTGATTTTTTTTTACCTTGATCCATAGAATTTCTATTGTTCTGATTGGTTCCCTGTGTGCTGAAAAAAATTAAAGAATTATAGGTTACCATTATGGACCAAATGGTAAATTTTGTAGCCAAAATGCCCAGTTGTACCAGGCTTGCTGTGCTTAATGGGATTTGTATCATCACAAGGTGATTCACAAAGATATAAACATGAAGTGTTCTTAAAGTGACAGTGGACAGAGCAACAAGTTCACTTTGATGCCCCCCCCCCCACCCCCTCCCTGCACCAAGGTGCAAGCAATAGCAAGAAGAAGCCCTGTGCAAGCTACAGACTTGACATGACTTACACAGCACTGAAGACTCTCTCCCCCATGTGACAGCAAGGGGGGTTTGAGTGACCAATCAACAAGCACCAGCGCTGTCACATGGTAGGAAGAAAAGTGTCTACATCCTACCCTATATCTGGAAGTGGTGGGTATATCACTTTTCTTACCCAGATAAATAGAGCAGTGGGGTAGTAAATGATGTGTAGTTCTGGCTTTGTGCATAGTATGCATTAACATTCATGTTCCCTTATGCTTATGCAAGCTCTAAAAAGTATCCATTATGCCCAATGGTACATAGTTGGAAGTTTTGAATTCTTCTCCTTATGCCCTTAACAAGAACTAATGATAAATGGTACTAAACAGAAAGATGGGCTGAGAGGGTCTTTTTCTTTTAACTGATGACTGCAATATAGCAATTTATACAGAACGCTAACAGATACAATCCTGATGTTCCCCTCAGGCACCTGGTTGCACGCTTTTGATGAAACTCGTACGCATGAATCGGACTTCCATGTAGATGAGAACACGGTTGTTAAGGTGCCGATGATGACCATTAGAGAGGAATTTCTCATAGCCATTGAACGGGAGAGCGGCTGTGTAGTGGTTGATATCCCATATAAAGGAAATACCTCGGCCATTCTAATCTTGCCGGATAAGGGGAAACTTCATGAAGTGGAAAAAGCTGTCCAGAATGTGTCCCTGCAGACGTGGGCAAAACGCATGAGACCAATGTAAGAGCCTTCTGTGTCTGTAAAAGAAGCATGCAGTACTATATATATTTACACCAATCAGCCACAACATTATGACCACCCACCTTATATTGAGTAGGTCCCCCTTTTCCTGACCCGTTGAGACATGGACTCCACTAGACCCCTGGAGGTATGCTGTAGTATGAAGCTGTCAGTAGCAGATCCTTTATGTCCTGTAAGGTGTGAGGTGCGGTCTCCATGGATCAGACTTGTTTTTCCAGCACATCCCACAGATGCTCGATTGAATTGAGATCTGGAGAATTTGGAGGCCAAGTCAACACCTTAAACTTGTTGTTGTGTTCCTCAAACCATTCTTCAACCATTTTTGCAGTGTGGCAGGGCATGTTATCCTCCCAAAAGAGGCCTCCGCCATCGGGGATTACCGTACCCATGAGGGGGTGTACTTGGTCAGTAACAATGTTTAGGTCGGTGGTACGTGTCAAAGTAACATTCACATGAATGGCAGGACCCGAGGTTTCCCAGCAGAACATTGCCCAAAGCATTACACTGCCTCCCCTGCCTTGTCTTCTGCACATAGTACATCCTGGTGTCATCTCTTCCCCAGGTAAGTGACACACACACACCCATATCATGTAAAAGAAAATGTGTTTTTTCTGATCAGGCCACCTTCCTCCATTGCTCCGTGGTCCAATTTTCATGTTAACATGCCCATTGAAGGGTCCACAAGAGCTGTAGTTTTGGGGTTGCTCTGACCTCATCATCTAGCCATCACAATTTGGTTCCTGTCAAAGTCGCTTCAATCCTTACAATCCAATTTTTTCTGCTTCCAACACATCAACTTCAGGGAGAAAATGTTTACTTTCTGCCTAATGTATCCCACCCACTTCCAGGTGACATTGTAATGACATAATCAATGTTATTTACTTCAGTGGTCATAATGTTATGGCTTTGGGAAAGAGGTATACCCATCCTGACTAACAGAACAGCGAGAGCGAGAGCGAGAGCGAATATGAATACATACAATTAATAATCAAGTAATCACTTAGAGGTAAGGGGACACTTAGCTGTGCAGAACTCCAGCCAAATTAATAAAATAAAAATAAACAGCCAAGTAAAAGATAAAAAAAACAAAACAACAGCTTTTACTGCAATACTTACCTTCAGTGCAGAGCTCTCCCCCGCAGTACTTTTTTCTGCCACTAGATGTCAACAATCTGATGGATGGCATCATTTAACCCACTTCCTCAGAGCTCAGGTCGCCTCAGAAGAGAAGAGGCTATATGGAATGAGGGGAGATTCAGGTTATTAAGGAAGGCTGCTGACTGGTTCTCTTTAGAAAAGCCTTGATATTTCTGCCTTGCCAACTGCAATGTTTTATTCCTCCGCAGGAAAATCCTTTTATCCATCCCTAAATTTTGTGTTTCCGCCACGCTCAATCTCAAGAATGAATTACCTAAACTGGGGATAAAGGATGTTTTTTCGGGCATAGCCGATCTTTCCGGGATTACAGGGGATCGATTGCAGGTGTCCGAGGTGAGATACGATGGCCTTCTCAGGATTCTTCAGGCTTGTTCTCTAAAGGGCTGTGTATGTGGGAAACTATTTCCAAAGTGCTGTTATTGCAGTGTTCACCCTAAAACAGGTTTTGATGGCATTATCACAAAAATATATATATATATATATATATATATATATATAAAATCAATAATTGAAAAAATATTACAGAATTCATATATATACATATTTGTTGAAGAAATGCTACAAAAAATATAAAGTACAAGATATGATTTGGATAGCTTGTGATGTTAAGTGTATATCTGGTATATTTGGTCAAAGCTTTTGTTGAAAATGTTGGAGAGTAGGGAAGGGTAAAACCCTTGTTGGGTTATTTTTGCTTCCTGTGTCCTGCTGGGGGGATTTTCCCAGTGGTGTCACCAGGCAGGGTGTCACCTGGTGTAAACATCATTATGTGTACACTCGCCTTACGCATGCACGTAATGACGTCACATGCACTTTTATGTCTTGGTGATGGATGCCATCAAAGAGAGAAGGGGATGTTCATCCGGCAAGATAAGGTATGCCACCTGGTCCCCTCCTCAGTCGTGCAGCTCTCGCTCAATGGCCAAGTACCCAGTTTATTGGAGGCGGTGTCACCAAAATGACTGTCAGTCATTTCAGTGTCTCCCCCTCTGAAATAAAGAAGGAGAATGTCACCAGCAGACTGGAAAATTGGTCAAATTAATGTCTTCTTTATTGATGCATATTATCACATTGATAACCACATCGAAGTTTCATGGCCACGCAGGCAGTGGCGTAACAAGCGCCATAGTGACACAGGTGGCTCCTGAAGCTTAGCAATAAGCTATTGAAGTGCGATCTGCACTTCAATAGCTTATTTCAAGTACAAAGGTCTTTTGGACCCCCAGTGTCACCTTAAAGAGTACCTGACACTGCCAATATGCTATCACATGGGGGGCTGGTAAGCCCCCATATGTGATAGCAATTCAAGTAAAGTAAAAAAAATAACAGGTTTTTAAAATTAGTATTAAATAAAATAAATGTAAAAATAATCCCCCAAAAAATTTTAAAGTCCCCCGCGAACATGCGCGTTTTCACGTAAACACGCGTCGGGTGCTCCTACGTATAAAAACATTAAACGTGCTTCACATGTTGGGTATTGCCGCGCATGCCAGAGTGAGATAATTCTAAGGCCAACATTTACGCGTATATCTAAACTGATGACCTGTGGGGGCTTTTAAAGCGTCGTCTATGGACTTTTTGGGGTACTGAATTTTGTCGCAGTTTCACGGACGCACACAATTTTTAACCTGGGCATGTTGGGTATCTATTTACACATTGTAACCTCATCAAATGGGCATTTTATTGTGTTTTGGGGCATTTGAGTGCATTTTACACTAAATTTTGGGGTTTGAAAAGGAGTTGCGCTAATATCGTGCAACATACAAAATTTGCAACAGCCACCATTTTATTCTATAGGGGCTTGGCTTTCAGAAAATATATTATGTTTGGGGGTTTTAAGTGATTGTCAGGCCTAAAATGTGGATTATAACATGTAGACAAATTTTTTTTTTAAAGGCCTCGGTCATGAAGGGGTTAAACATCAAGCAGAAGCATCCACTGTAAGGCTGGGCACACACCTTACAACCATCGCAAGACTTTTGTCTTGCGATGGTTGTAAGGTACTTAAAAAAACTTACGATCTGCCTATCTTGGACAGGCAGATCGTACTTGCGATGATCACAAGCCACGCCCCCTGAGGCGCGGGCTTCCGATGACCGCAATGCCAAACGGGCAGTGTGCGCTTGCGCACACCGGCCCGTCCGGTTTTTATCTTCCGAACATGCTACACACCCGCCGAACATCGTACGATGCTCGGCGGGTTTTCGAACATGTTCGTAAGTTAAAAGTCGTGCGACCTTACAGTAGTAGAGGTCGCACGGCTTTCACACATGGCATTTCCCGCGATTATCGTACAATTATCGTAAGGTGTGTGGGGACTCTTAGTGATTTCATCAGCATTGGAAATATCTTAAAAACCTTTTGACTTTAATAGGAGAAATTGAGAGACGTTTTGCAGACAATAAAATTGGTAATTTTGGCACAGAAACAATTCTGCAAAAATCACTGCGCTCATCCCCCTTGTTTACTACCCATGGTTCAGCACTTTATACGAACATAATGAAGGTGGGATACATTTCATCATTTCACCTTGTTATGTCTTTTATCTTTTATTCTCCAGGCAATTCATAAAGCAGTGCTGAGCGTGGATGAGAAGGGAGCGGAGGCGGCTGGAGCATCGGCCGCCGCCATCACAAAATTAAGTATGCCTTTTCACTTTAACGCCGACCGCCCTTTCCTGATAACGCTGCTACATAAACCCACTGACACCATTCTCTTCACCGGGAGAGTTGTGAAGCCTGAGAAGTGCTGAAAGGCAGTCACTGAATTCTACTGCTGCCATAGAACGGTTGGGAGAATTGGGCTACATGAGGCCCCAAATTCACTTACCCAAATAAAAGATTTTTTTATTTCCGTTCTGTTTCCTTTTTTATTACACTGTATTTATCTCATTATTTGATAGGTATTACCACCATACAGGGGAGTCCCGAGGCCAGGTGTCACCCAGAGCGGCGTGTGCGGCCATCTTGGTGATATCTTCCTGTGGCCATCTTGGTGATGTGGACACTTGTTCCAGGGACAACTGTCTAAAAAGGAAGTTTCCCTAACATTGGGAGATTTCTTCTAATTTCCTGTTGCTTCTCTGGGACAAGAAATGAAGGAAATTTCCCCTTTGGTACACAGACAGCAAGAACAAAGTTTTGACTCTTCTCAAAAAAAGCAAAACTATTCACACTCTGACTATACAAAGTCAATACATACTGTATGAAGTAGATATAAACCAAATAACTAAAATAATCTTTAAAGGAGAACTATGAGATGAGTGATTTCCACTCACCTCATAGTTCTAGCCGACCTGTGACAATGAGACTGTCACAGGTCGGCTCAGTAGATCGGGAGGGGAGCGCACACCTAGCGATAACTGCCTCCCTGTTTCACCGGGGAAATGTTTTTTACTTGACTTGTTCCACATTGTTGCTCCTTTACCTGTTTTCCTGCACTCTCTGCTCTTTTTCTTTTTTTTTTCTTCACACAACGGGAAGAGACACATCACGCCTCCATACGGGGATCCACTCGACAACTCAGATCTCATCCGGAATCCTCACTTCAACACAGCGACCACAACCCGCCCGCGACCTGGTTTCTTGTAAATATGTACAGTACGCACATCAGTGAGTACTGTACATATTTCTGGATACACTACCTATATCCTACCCATGGCTGTACAGTTCCTATCTCTTAACGCCAAGGGTCTCAACCACCCAGCTAAGAGACGCTCACTATGGCTGGAAGTTGTCAAACACCATGCGGATATAGTTTGCATACAGGAGACCCACTTCTGCAACTCCGCTCCACCACAGTGCTCCCACAGGAGCTTCCCTACTGTCGTTACGGCTAACGCCACTTCCAAATGCAGGGGTGTACTTGTGGCCGTCAGAGACACAGTATCGTTCCACCAACTTGAGGATCATACCGACACGTCATTACTAAAAGCTTGGTAGAGTTTTTCGACGTTAATGCATCCTCAGTGGAGGACCCTTTTACATTGTGGAACGCCCATAAGGCGTATATTAGAGGTTTATTGATCCAACATAGTTCTCGGTTCAAGAGGCAGAGGGCACGGGCTCTAGACCAGATCATCTCTGATATACGTAAATTTGAGGATGAGAAAAAACGACAACCCAGTCCAGACCGCTCCCTGACTCTGTCTCAACTCCGTTTAGACCTTAGAAAACTCCTTATGGAACAATACTGCCGACACTCCATGAATGTCAGGTCCAACTTTTACGTTAGTGGCAGTAAAGCCAGTAAACTTCTGGCCTCTCGCCTAAAAGCCCAAAAGGCACGCACTAGAATCCCTTATATACTGCGCGCCTCTGACAACCATAAACTTTACCACCCTCAAGATATAGCTGAAGCCTTTTGCGCATACTACAAATCCTTATACAACTTACGGGAGGAAACACAGACCCACCAACCCACTCGTCCTGAAATAGACGAGTTTCTGCGATCCCTTCACTTACCTACGCTTACGCCCTCCCAACTAGATAGGCTTCAATCTCCATTCACTGACACGGAGCTGACCAAAATAATAACATCCATGCCCAATAACAAATCCCCAGGACCGGACGGGTACTCCAATGAATACTATAAACTGTTCGCCTCTATACTCAGCCCTCACCTACTTAAGGTCTTTGACGCCGCGGCGTCCTCTGCCTCTTTTCCTGATGAAATGCTTCGTGCCTTAATTGTTACGATCCCCAAACCAGGGAAGACTCCGGACCAACCTCAGAACTTCCGGCCCATCTCCCTCCTAAACTCGGACATAAAAATATACGCCAAATTAATAGCCCACCGCCTCAATGACATTATGCCCACTTTGCTGCATCCTGATCAGAAGGGATTCGCGTTGGGTCGAGAAGCCCCCGGATGCTACCAGGCGGGTTATCAACCTGTTGGCGCAGGTCGAGCGCTCTCGGACGCCTTCTCTGTTCCTGGCTTTGGACGCAGAGAAGGCGTTCGACAGGGTCAATTGGTCCTATCTCCGGGGGGCCCTCCTGAAGTTCGGGTTTGAAGGAAGAATCACTGACATGATCATGGCACTATACTCTGCCCCCTCTCCTCGCCATTCACCATTACTAATGGTACGAGGCAAGGCTGCCCCCTATCCCCCTTGATATTTAATCTTTTGATAGAGCCCCTAGCTCAGTCCCTTAGAGCCGATCTAGATGTTCGGGGGATCAGTGTCCACAGCACCCTTCCCCCACAGAAGGTCACGCTGTTCGCTGACGACGTTCTGTTAACCCTCACAGCTCCGGAGTCTTCCCTGCGGAGGACAATGCAAATATTACAAACTTTTAGCAATGTGTCATACTACAAACTTAATGTGGGTAAATGTAATGCTATGGGTATCAATATGGGCTCGACTCCTCGTAAGGCTTTGCAGGCTGACTACCCTTTTGAGTGGACGACCAGTAGCATCCCGTATCTGGGAACCAACATACCTGAAGCGACGAGCCGGCTCTTTCAGTGTAATTTCATCCCATTCTTAGAGACGTTCCCATCTGAACTCCAAGCGCTGAGTAGGGGGTACTTGTCCTGGACGGCTAAAGTGGCGGCCTTTAAAATGCTTACTCTTCCTGAACTCCTTTACTTATTCCGGACAGTAGTCGTACCCATACCCACCGGATATTTTAAGTCCCTACAGACCGCTTTATCTAAATTTATCTGGCACAATAAAAAACCTAGGTGCTCCCGCACATCTCTTATTAAAAATCCTAGAGTGGGCGGCACTGGGTACCCTGACCTCAAGGACTATCACCTGGCTGCCACCCTTTCGCAGCTCCGAGCCTGGACGAGCCCCTCAGGAGACAAGCTCTGGCCCTCCCTGGAGAGCAAATTGACTCAGGGAGTCTCCTTGTACTCCCTGGCTTTTATTAACACGCATACCTCCACCTCAGTGGCTGAGTATTCACCCCCTATCCAAGCCACTATACAGGCTTGGCACTCGCTCATGCAAACCAGGTCCTCCCGGGAACAGATGGTTACTCCCCCAATCCCACTTTCCGCTTTAGCGCTTCTTATCCCGGACTTCCCTCATGAACGGTGGTCCAAAAAGGGTATCAGTCGGGTCCAGGATTTATTACAAAACATGTGTATGCAACCTTTTCCGCACCTGTGCTCAAGATATAGGTTAACGGATCAAGATTACTATAGATATCTGCAAATCACCCACGCTTTACCTTCTCTCTTATCAGCATGGCCCCGGGTGCCAAAACAGATCTGGAACTACCTCTCATCCACGACCGCCCGTAAGGGGGGTATCTCGCTCTTCTACAATTCCCTCCAGAACAAAAGGTCGTTCACTAAACTACCGGCCTTTCTGGCCTGGGAGAGGGAGCTGGGTGTGACCTTCCCCTCAGGGTCATGGGAGACAGCATGCGGCTCCATCTACCTTGCCACGAAAAGTGCCCCACCTTTGGGAGCTCTTTCATAAAATCTCCCTAAGATGGTACCTCACACCATACCGCTTAGCGAAATTCGCACCGGCCAATTCAGCGTTGTGCTGGAGGGATTGCGGGCAGACGGGTACCCTTCTCCATATCCTATGGAGATGTAAGTCCTTGACAAGCTACTGGAATGGCATTTTTAGGTGGATATCAACGATAACTGGTTGCCTTACCACCCCTGACCCAGCGCTTGGACTCCTACTCATAGGCATAGACCGCTTCCCGGTGCCTTTCCGAGCACTGGTTGTCCACACATTATTGGCAGCTCAGCTCACTATCGTGAGACACTGGAAAAGTTCAGTTAGTGTTTCTGTTCGTGAAACCCACCAAACTTTAACCTTGCACTATGACCTTGAGAGACTGTATGCGATCAAAAGTGGTACCTTAACCTCCTTCCACAAAAAGTGGAAATGGTGGACTCCTAAGCTAAAATGATGTGTGACTTTCCCTCTGCCTTCTTCTGATCTGCCTTCCCTACCTTTTTATTTCTCTTTCCTCTACTCTCCTTGCTTCACTTAGTCTACGACTATTGAAAGACGTAATGATTGATCGTAATTGCGACCATTGTCCTTGTAAGAGTATCAACCTGTACCTTAACAATAACAAATGTTTCTTTCTTCTTGTTATTTGATTTACGTATTATGTCTAATCTGCATTGTTATGGCACTAAACGTGCTCGTTTGAAAAACCAATAAAAAATCTATTTTGGAAAAAAAAAAAAAAATGACTGTCAGTCATTTTGGTGTCAACCCTCCAATGGTGTCACCCGGGTGCGGGCCGCATCCCCCACACCCCCCTTGTGACGCCACTGATAGAGCCGACCTGTGACAGCTTCAGTGTCACACGTCAGCTCTAATTATGGGCATGGGATTCACTCTCCCCATAATTCTCATTTAGTAAAATAAATAATAAGTATAATTAAACACAGTAACAAATATGTCATACAGTATATTGCAGCTTACCAGCCCTTAGATTTGACGGCTGCATTAGTCTTGATTTTTCAACCAAGACCATTTTCAGCAAGTACAGAAAATTCTTGTTGATCCCGCCGGAATTGCTGGGTCCTTGTCACTTCCTGAGAGCTGACCTGGAAGCATAATACGAATCTGATCTTTCTTCTGTAAACTACTAGTCCCATAAATCCGCCAGAGATTGACTAAGGCAGCCGTGTGTGAAGTCCACACGGTGCATCCATAGACACAGTGATGGAGTGAGCGTAGCCATCCAGGGACAGGAAGGGTGATATTCACAGGATTACATGGTGAAAACTGAAAAGAGATGGAAATAAAACAGAAAAGTGAAA